TCCAGGAAAGTAACCCGCAAGCTGAAGTGACAGTGGGTCCTGGAGCATGCACAACTTGGAAATGACACTACAGACTTGAGCAAAGGGAATTACAAGAGCAACTGAGCCAAGCAGGAAATTTCCAGTGCCAACAATATAGGAGATAAAAAATAGAGATGGTTTTGGAAGTCATTACCTGATGAATGCTCTAAAGCAGGACACGGGTCTTTGTCCTACACATCTGATTTATATGCAGGTAGGGAACACATAACAAAACCAGAAAGAATTAAAAAGCTGAGGACAAGGATAGCTACAGTACCTAGTAAGCCAGATATACCTTATGATATAATCTACCTTATCCAGCCTCGATTACCCGGAATCATCGAATACTTTGGGTTGGAAGGGACCTTCAGAGGCTCGTCTAGTCTGAGCCCCCTGCCAGGGGCAGGGACATTTTTTACAAGACCAGGTTGCTCAAAGCCCCACCCAACCTGACTTTGAGCATTTCAGTGATGGGACAACCACAACCTCTCTGGGCAACCTGCTCCAGCGTCTCGCCACCCTCGCTGTAAATAATTATTTCCTTAAACCCAACCTAGATCTACCCTCTTGCAGTTTAAAACTGCTCTCCCGTGACCTGTCACTACAGGCCTGGTAAAAAGTCTTCATCTTTCCTACCAGCCACCTGTACACACTGCAAGGCCACGGGAAGGTCTCCCCAGAGCCTGCTCTTCTCCAGGCTCACACCCCACGGCTCCCAGCCTCTCCTCACAGCAGAGGGGTTCCAGCCCTCTGATTGCGTCCGTGGCCTCCCCCGGACCCGCTCCCACAGGCCCATGTATCTAGAAACAATTCCCCTGAATTATTTTCAGCTCTTTCAAGTGATGTCATTAAAATCTCCTGGATGTACTGGAAAATTAGCATAGGTTCAAAGCTGTCATACCAGGCATCCTTGCAATGGCATTAGAACGTTTCACTGGCCTCACGGCTTTCCAGAATACGTACTTTGTACTTTGATTTTCCCGATTCTCCAAAACTGGATTTTCAAATTTGGAAGAAAAATACAGTCAGAGAAGAAACTAGGTAAAAAAACAAAAAGATGAAACATAAGAACAGGAGAAAGGTCAATTCAGGAAAAGAATAGAAGGAAATGGACAGTGTGGCACCACTGGCAAGCTTTGGAAACTGAGTATCCATCCCTTTTTCTCTTCTTTTTCTAAGGTACCCTGAATAAGGGTAGCAAAATAGAAATGTGACTTGCAAAAGAACATTATGATACTGCATGACTGGGCAATAAGAGGACAGATGAACCTGAATATAAATTTATGCAGAATAATTCAAGTACTGAAGAAAAATATACCCACTATAGATACACACTGATGGGTTCTGAACTAGACATTACCATTCAGGAAAGAGTTCATAGTTATAATAAATGATTTTATGAAAATGCCATCTCATTGTTCAGTCACAGTCAAAAATGAAAACAGAATAATCCACAATACTAGAAAGGAAACGAGAACAAACTAGGAAATTTGATTATGCCAGGGGATAAACCTGTGGTGTACTCAGATCATGTGTGGTTCTGGTCTCACCATTTTCGAAAGGATAGAGAACAACGAGGTACAAAGAGTGACAGGAATGATCAAAGGCATTTAAGGACTTCTAGTCTCCAGCCTGAAAAATATCTAAAGGGCAGATATGGGAAGAGCCTGTAAATTCTTAGGCAGAATGAAGAATGAAACTGCTCACTCGCCTCTTCCAGTATTAGGAAACACCGAATGGAACTAGTAGGTGACAGGTTCACAATAAGCAAAGTTCGTCACAAAATCCACATCACACGGTGGAACTCTGATGCGAGATTGTGCCAGCACTCAGAATTTGTATAGAGGCAAATAAAAAACTGGAGAGAATTAAAATCTATATATTAAACACAAAGTAATGCTGTGGCTCAAGAAGTCCTTGGACTGCCTACTAGAGAAAGCTGAGAAAATATGCACGCCCAGTTATTACCCGCATTTTGTCTCCTCCATGGAGTTAGGCATCAACCTCGCCCTAGTAAAACCTCAAATCCCTCCCTGGGAAGGGGGGAGGGGGCTTTGAGAAAAAGAAAACTGGAAGAAAACAACTAATTACTAAAACGAACGACATGAAATGAAATGGAGGGCTGTCGGGGTCAAAGGATAAGAAGTCTAAAGCTGGGTGCCGAAGGGGCAGACAAAGCAGAGCATCTTGGCTGCCAGCCACAGGCAAAGACGACGCTGGGCAAGAGAGACATATTATCAGAGCTGGTACAGGCCTTCCTGTGTACCCACATACAGTTAGCCTAAAAAAGAGAGAACATATTTTAGGGTATGACTCAGCAAGCCAACGTGCCTCTATTAGCACAACACTTGAGCATGTGCTCAATATAACCATAAGGTCCATGGAAGTTAATGATGTTAATGTAAAATACACTCTGCATCAGACAGGCACAGATATTTTATGTAGAGCAGAAAGATAAAGTCTGGACTTGCTGAAGGGCCTCTGAAAAGATGAAATAGGCTGACAGGTCAGAGCAACACAGACCCCAGAGGGCACGGGGAGCTGGAAGGGGGAACCAGCACGGCACCGAAGACACCGCCCGCGGGAGTCACGGTCAAGAAAGGGGCAGCAAACAGTCTGGTGTTCACTCCAAGTCACAAACGAAGCTGTACTCTGATGATGGCAGGGGAGAGAGATTGGACACAGAACAGAGTCACGAAGCGGGAAGGCGAGCCCTGTGCCCCGGGACGCAGGGCCAGGCAGGGAGGTTCTGCACAGCAGGTAAGAGCGGCGGTGGAGGTCGAAGTCCATGCCAGAGCCTGTCAATTACTCTCTCAAGAAACTAGCGAAATGTTAAGCTGAGGAAGAAGCAGAACTTTGGGTAATCTGTGGGAGTTGCAAAGTCATGGCAGGTACCAGAAGCAGCTGTCTAGAAACACCCAAACTGGGAAGCTGGTCCCCTTCACAACACAACAGGCAGCCAGCAACAACCTGAAATTTCTTCTCTTCAAAGAACCATCCTACCACTTCCTATAGATTTTACAGACACTCAAGATACTCGAGAGTTGATAAATTGTTCATTTAAACAAAAAAGAAACCTTTCAAAAAAAAGCTAAAAGTTCCATTTTGAAATCTGATTGTAACTTAAAAAGAAGATTACCATTTCAAACTGGAACAAAACTTCAAATGACAGCTGAATGAAACCCAGGTAGCAATGCCATATTGGTTTTCTATTTGATTTTCCAGAATGCATTAAAAAGTTGGATTTTCCTTTTTTTCAAATTGCCAATAAACTTTAAAAAAAATAATAATCTTTAACTTGATAAATTTGCGTATCTCAAAGATGCTCTTGCAAAAACGTAGCTTAAACCACCAAGATCATCTTTTCCTAAACCACACGCTACCATGAAATTGGAAACATGCCTGAGAAGTCAGAAAATTAAGCCTTCGTTTGGAATAAAAATAATGAAGAGACCATCACAGAAATGCCTTGGGAGACCTCCCTACCATACTGAGAGGATTTCAGCTTAAGGACCCCTTCAGAACCCGGTGCAGCTGTGAGAGGGAGGCAGATGGAGAACTGGGGAGACCAAAACCGGGCAGCAAGTGATGTGTGTAGCCCCCTCCCTGCTCGCTAGCAACATCCCAAAGCACTTCTCTTCCCACACCAGCAGATAAATAAAATGGGTATTATTTAGAGGGGATGACCATATGGTTTGTATAATCTTCACAGGCTATTTCCAGTGTATTATTATCATGCATGGTAGAACTACAAAACAGGATTAAAATTTGCTTCCTTTTTCAGACCCAACCTGTGCCATTTGGGTCCAGAGAGGTGAGGGCATTCTATCAGGGGGGTATTTCCACAAGCTGTCCCTACCTTAATACTCACAGAACAATGTCACTGTTCCATGGGGAGCATATTATTGCGTTCCCAAGCACAAATAAATATTTCTCATCCTTGATCATAATTATTTGCTCGTAAATATTTGTTTAAATTGTAAAGTCCTGGCTTTTTTTTTTTTTTTTTTTTTTTTTACATATTCCATCTCAGCCTACATGCATCTGTCTGCTTTGTGCCTTCCTAGTGTGGAATGCTGCAATATGTAGCAAAAAAGACAGGAAAAATGCAAAAATGTCAACTACAGGAAAGAAAATCAACCTAAAAACTGAAATCCATTACCCTTAAGCTGTGTCCTTCCTCTCTCCAACTCCTTCATTTCCTCTCAGCTTTTTTCTTTGGATAATGAAGTATCAGCATCCAGAATCCATTTTTATTCTAAATTAAGGTACCCGCACTGCTGCAGGAACAATACGGATCGGGGTTTTTGTCTGGATACAGTGTACGCTTTCCAATTTTCACTGTCATTTTTTTTTTGCATATACAAAACATTGCAGAAGCACATGTAAATCACCACTCTCTTGCCCAGTGGAACAGAATTTCAGTTACCAATGCCAACAGTTGCCTACAGAAGGCATCTACATCTGGTCTGCTACATCCAAGACAGCAACCACAGGCACACGGTTTGCTTTGTTTGGAATTCATCACTGTGGTGCAGCTGAGCCTCGGATTAAAAAAAACTATGAGCCTCCAGGGTTAAACAGACAAATGTTTTCAGTCACAACAACTTTTTTTTTTTGTGAGGAAGCAAAGCCATAACAATGTATGTAAGGGGGTTTATGTAAATCATTAAAGGCCTACTGACTTAAATTGTTGCTAACACCAAGAAGTTGCTTAATGTACACTTGAGGGTGTGAAGGCAGAACAGATGAATAGTCTCACAAATCTTATTTGCTCAGTTGGAAAAATGCAAAAATATTTGTTAAAAAAAAAAAAAAAGAAAAAAAAATCTGATTCCTGCTCACTGCCATTCAAATTTAAAAGTCAAATTAATATTCATCATTTCTGAGTGCATGATGGTTTTTACTGGGAGGCAGAAGGGGCAGATACAATCAGTAAACAAATGTACTTTCAAATCCACACAGAATTCAATACCTACCTAGCCACTCGTTGAATTTTTTTACTTCACTAGGAAGTCCCAGCTCAGTAAAATCACCAGCATGTATTAACACATCTCCATATGGCATTTGGATGGGATCAGTTCTTGAGTGAGTATCAGAAATACAGACAAATCGTGTATATCCTGGAGGTTTGGGAGCATCATGGGGCACCGGATCAACCCTGTAGGAAATGCACCATAACAAGGTTATAAAGTACTTGTGTACTTCTTAGTGTCTACTTTGCAATTCTAATACTATTTTTTTTACCTTTACAAAAGATTACAGACTTCTGGATCTGTCTGATGGAAGGGATTTATTAAAACAGACCTAACACTAATGGGAGGTGTAAAAATTCTTGATGTTCACATCACAACATTTTCAGTATTTGTTGGGTAGATGGATTAATTTAAAGAGATTAAGGAAAAGAGACTGAACTATGGCAGTAACTCTGAAACAAATACTTACAAATAAATCAAAGGCATTGCCAGTTTCAAAGGAGTAGTACTATCCCGTTTCATTGTTTAAATATGATTACACAGTACACAGGGAGAAGATCTATTTTAGATACGCAAATACATTTAAATGCATTTTTTTCTAATTATAACTTTTTTTTCTGCAAGTTATATAATGCCAGCAAATTTAATTAACACATTTTGGAGATACGTTTCAGTGTGCTAACGCAAAGATAAGAACTCTCCTGACAACAGCTGTAAACGGACGTTCAAGCCGGACTATTGTCAGGACAAATGTGGCAACTTTCTGGGCTTAATGAGACTAAATGCAATCAGATGCTGTGAGGGGTGAGGCTGCATTGTTCGGAGCCCAATCGCAGCATTCGAAACTGAGGAAAAGCTCTGACCCAGTTTGATGAGACTTATTTATGATTTAGAAGAGGAAAGCCGAGAACACCTCTCTGCTATATGAGGAGTACTTATTTTCAACTTGGTCTTTTTACCCTCAATCCATATTTTGTTACAATTACATAGAAGCAAATATATCTGTATGCAGCTACAGCCCATCTACTATTCCAGTTAGGGAATTCTGGTGGAATAAAATCAAAAAGCCAGAGATGCAAGAGTTATGTTTATGTCACTAGAAACCAGAGAGATATACAGAATTGTTACGAATTACTTTACTTTTAAAACATTTATTTTGAAAGGACAAATAAAATTAGCTTTGTTCACTGCTGCAGTATGTCATACATATTCCTATCCCTTGCTGGTCGTGCTTCAATTCAGGAGCTTACTTTTACATAATAAACTCAGACACAAAGTCAGAGATCCTTGCTGTTAATAATACCACCCCTGTTTACTGGGTAAATTTTCAAAAGGCATTTTATAGCTTGAAAGATGTAAGATCATAATCTTTAATCACACCATCTTTAAGTCATTCTATGAAATTTATAGGTGGGTAAACTGAGGTGGTTTTGACAACTGTGCAAGACCAGTGAGAGTGAGAAATAAATCTAACACACTCAAATCTTCTTAAATCTAGGAAAAGTTCTTAGCATTTTCCACAATATAACTATAAAAGTAGAGTATGAACAAATTCTTTTGTACCTGTCTTTCCTGTAGCTTTCTAGGAAGGAGAATGTTGGGTTTTCACAGCAGTAGCAGAGAAACGGCCTTTTAGTACAAGTACCTTGTGGTCGTCTGTCTGAGGTTCCCGTGTTTGAGCAGACAGGAACCACGTGTGCGGTAAGGGGTAACACCGGCCGGGACCAAACCATGCCCGAAGCGACACCCCCTGGAAGCGTGAAACCGGGCTGCCCCGGAGCGCAGGCCCTCGGGGCTGCAGGGGCCGAGACGGGGCACTGAGGGCGGGGGGTCGCAGCCCCCCGGTTTTGCAGGGGACCCCCACGGGGGTTCGCTCGGCGAGGCACGGGGTGCCTGAGGGGCAATGCCCCCGGTTCATGGGGCTCCCCGCAAAACGAACCGGGATGGGCGGGTAAGAACGACAAGGAGCTGACCCTGGTCATCACTGCAGCCGCTCCAGCTCAAAAGATTAAGCATCAGTTCAGTAAACAAATTTCTGACTGCTGCTTTCCTGGCCCAGCTCTTCCCAAAGCGAGTCACAGGTCACTAGTAAACCCGCTTTAAATCCTGTGTTCCACCCTGGCACAACAGCAGGACATGGACTGCTCTAAAGTACCACTGCGGGCTCCTCACGGGGGGCAGCCTTAAGCAGGTGCTTCTTCCCCTTCCGAAACCTTACGAAACCTTCCGAAGCCCAGCACAGCAGCGAGCTGGGTGTCGGGAAGCAGCATGCGTTTCACATGCTGCTCCTCTGAAGCTGAATGGAAGAAACAACAGACTTACCATGGCAACCCATGCAGCACATAATACACATGCTTTCTCTTATAGTTTGGATGGGGACGGGGAAGATGTGGACAGCATTCTCCTGGTTGCTGAGGTATGTGTAACTTTGAAATCCTGTGCAACGGGCCAGAGAATTTTCATGGGGAAAAAGGAATCAATATTAAAAAAAAAAAAGCCCTCCACAAATAAATGAGATGCAGATTTTTCACACTGAAGTGATATGCACACACTGAGGCCGTATATAGGTAAAAACATATGTCAGGTTTCACAAATGCATCAAAGTTGTATTACTGGAAATAATTTCTGAAGGCTCAATCCCCATATTCTTGTGTAACACATTCCCACAGCAGCTGTCACACCAACACCCAATGCACTGCTTGCAGCGTGAGCAGAGGAATAAAGATCTGCTGATTATTTTTGTGCAAATGCTTTTGTTTTTCTTTAAACCAGTATGAAAACTTGCAGATAAATTGAAAAGCAAGGTTAAAAAATATCTCAAAGCAAAAACGCTGCCAGAGGTTAGCTGATGCACTAGATTTCAGTGGTTTCACAAAGGAGCAAGGCAGGAACTTTCCAGAAATGGCTGATGGACTTGGAAACACTGGCAGAATTTCCCACCCTTCCTGTCAGTGGCAACCCGACCATATCACAAGTACAGGGATGACAGACTAAGACGGGGCTAGGAAGGGGCTGTCAGCATGTTACGGGTGCTAAAAAGTGAAGCAAGAAACATAAAACTGCCCAGAGGACCAAGGAAGAGCTGCAGGACTGAATTCAGAGGAACAGGAGCACAAACCCCCTCTGTGGTTGGTTTACTGTGAGTTCGGGTGTTAACAGGTCTCTGTGAAGTCTGTTGCTGATTGCTGCAGCATCACTAATCCAGGTATTCTGAACAACACACAAAGACGTGGCCAAGTCCTCACCGCCCTGAAGTCAACGACAAAACTGCACGGACTGAGCAGAGCTAAGATTTCACCCGTAACAATCATCTGAATAAAAGGTGCTTTTGTTACACTTTTTATGTCTACTTCTCCTTTCTTTGTTACTGTTCTATTCATTGGTAGGAAGCAAAAGCAATCCTGTTGGTATTCAGAAACATTATTTATAATTTCTGGACCAAGAGAAAGAGTAGGTCAGATTGTGGTAAATGTTTCAATTGATTTAGCTGGTTTTTCTCTTTGCACAAGCTTCTTCAATAGTATTAATCATTCATGAGAGACTGCTAAACTCTTCTAAGGAACCATTTTCTAAGGACAGATGATTTTCAACTACTTGCTTAGGTGCTGAACTTCTATCATGCAGTTGATTGTCTAAGCCCTCCAGTACTATGATTTGGTACTGGTTAGAAGTTTAAACAGCATCTTGTTGAGTACCAGGTGGGTACTAATAAATAACTTATTTTCAGCCCAGTACAAAACATTCAGCTTTTAAGATCAGTGAACAAATTCATTAGCGCCCAGGAACTGTCTGAATATTCACAAAGAATAGCTAAGCCTTGACAAATAAAGCAACCTGCATTTGGCATTCTCCTTTGCAAAAGTATTTCTGAACCCACATTTGTTTGTTTGTACTTTTGCTACCATTTGCCAGCTCTATAAACAAAAGATGTTTCCCAGCGCTAACACTCAATTCATTTTACTGTTTGCATTTCAGCAGTACCTAAAATACCTCAACACAGACCATAAGCTAATACACTGCCCCCAAAAACTGAGTGCTTGCTCACCCCCCTGGTATCTATGTTAGTCTTCAGATTTTTGTAATATATTATCTAATTTATGCCAAAGAATGTACATAAGCATTCATTAAACAGACACATAGCATTCAATGAGTCTAACTGCCGAGTTTTTTAACTGCAGAAATCAGGGCCTGTGTTTGTAAATTAATAGATCATATTAAACACCAAAAATGTGAATGAGGTGATCATTTATTCAGTCTTCCTAAAGGAAAAAAAGTTTCCCCTAAAAAAATGAAAAACAGCCTTCCAATCTGAAGATAAGGCTGCTTCTCTCTTTAATAAACACAATAAAATGGTTGAGACATTTTTATTCCCTATAAAAATATTTTACAGTAGAATTTTATACTTAATTTATTTGTAATAGCTTTACTGTTTTGCTCTTCCTTCTGGCTTTAAACTTTATGGCAGGTTTCATTTTGTAATTATAATTCTCCACTTTACATTACAAGTAAATCATTTAGAGTAGTTCATTTTACTGATGTTGTCATTATATAAGAAGTCAGAAACAAACACATTATTTTAATTACTCTTTAAGCACTTGGCATCTTCGGCACATCAGTATGAACGTAAGTTGTCGGATGGGTACCCACACTATTTTATTTATTGATGTGATTCTTCCCTTGAATGCAGCTGCAATATTAGAGCTAACCAAACAGTATGTGTGTTGTACAGATACAGGCTTGGTATTTTCAGCAGCTATTTACATCAATAAGCAAGAGCACAATGCAAACAAACATTATGAAGATTGCAGAAAGTATCATCCTCCTAGCATCTCTTATTTTATTACCACTGCTTGTTGTTTATTTCTCTTATTATGCCAGGATTATGTGGAAAAGTTACGCCAGTGGAGTGATCTTTCTCCCACCCTTTAACAAAGTACTTACACCTTCCAAATGGCCTGATTTTGTATCATTATAGTAATTATTATTACTAGAAAGGCAGCAAAACAGAGTTCTTTGAATTCTTTCTGACTGGTCCATCAGACAGTAACAATTCAGAAGGCTGTGCTAGAGCAATAACAAAACTAACACTTACATTTGCACATGTGGGGGCTGAAATCGTCCCTGGTTGATGTTGTAGAAGGTGAAAGCCTGGGTGGGGTTGGAGCTGTACTCATCCACCTCGATGATGAGCCGGCTGTGCTGGTGCCTCCGCGCTGCCATGATGTGTGACTGGGCGAAGGCCATCGTGCACCGGGGCGCGGGGCGGCCTCAGGCGACCATGGCTGCTAGCTGCCCGCGTCCACGGGGGGACACCAGGGCATCTCCTCACCCGCCCAGCACGCGCCCTTCGACAAACCTAGAAGCAGATGGAGGAGACGGAGTGTAAGTGTTGGACGGTCCGGAATTGGCCGTACTGAGTAGGAGGTGAGGAGGAAGGGGGGACATGGAGGGACGAGGATGCACCGCCCGGAACTCAGCACAAACCTCCGACTCACCTCTGGCCGGGGGCGGGAAGAAGGGAGTGCAAGTAAACTTTCTTTAGAAGCACAGGGGCAACTTGCTCAAATATTTCAGACATTTAATACACATCTAAAAGACAAGGCAGTCATTCAGAATGGCACGTCAAACAATAATGTTTCTTCCAACACAATTATTTACTGTCTTTTATTGCACTGCTGAATGTTTATTCCCCATCCTCCTTCAGAAAAACCCCACCAAACCTGAAACCCAGCACAGGGCTGTGCACGGCTAAAACGGGAGTTAATTAAACAAGGATCAGTTTAAGCAATGCATCAGAAAGTCTGCGCCACTGATCGCCGGGAAGCATTGCAAGTCGTTGTTCTTTACATCCCGAGGAAGAGAGCAAACGCCCCGTGGGCACTTGCCCCTGGTTTCACAGCATCCCTGCAGGAACCCCTGACCCAGAGGGAGGGCTCCCCCCTCAAACACATCTTCCTCTGTCAGCACCTGCCCAACAGTCTGCACGGACTGGAAAAGGAACGGATTCAAAGGCTAACACACAGTTAAATGTTATTAAATATTTAAAAAAAAAAGTAAAATCCATACAGGCTTTATGTTTGGGAATACATTTTTCCCTGAAGATTATGCAAGTCTAGAACAGCAGCACGGAAAATGGGTAAAGGAACCGCAAAGTGAAACCAACTGGAATGCAGATAGTATCCCCTAGAAACAGCAGAAAGTAATTTAAATGTGAATTTTACTTTTATTTCCCAGTTTTAATAAAAAATGGATTATAAGCTATAAAGGTGGGTATTTTTACAGTATAATTTTGCATCCTTTTTGAAAGTTGTCTGTCTTAAATATTTACTTTCATGCAAGCGAGAGCTCTTTTCTTCTAGGGAATACAAGTAATCTGCTTCAGAAGATGTATTTCATGAAAAGCCCTGCTAGAATGCAGCAATCCACTTAATACGTGCAGCTTCTGGAAAGCAGGACTGCAAGTATTTTCTGTGACCTTGGTGATGTGCCTCCCGCCATTCTGAAGGGGCCACTGCGGGAGTGATGGATGAGGGAGGTCTCCGCAGTCACTCAGATTTTTAAAGCTATTTGCAGGTACTTAGGTCCAATTCAGTTCTAGTGGCAGTCAAGCACCTAAGCATCTTTTAAAATCTGGGCTTCAGTCCTTTGCTTAACTACTACAGATGTTAAGTGCTCCAAGAAGTGGTGGTGTATTTTTGTTTTGGGAAATCTTGTTCTTAGGAAACCGAAATGAGAGCTTCAGCTCAGTTTTGTTACTTGCTGAATGGCTGTAAAATGATGACAACTTGCTGTCACTAACAACCCGCAGGAAAACAGTCTGAGAATAAAAGCGCAGATTCCTTCATGCCTTCCCCTAGAATTGAGTGGTAAGAAAACGGTAGAATAACAACAAAGAAAATTTTGGATTTTAAAGGCTCTCAGATGCCGCGTTCAGGCTAGGAACAAGCAGCAGCACAAAGAAACGTGCCAGAGCAGGGGGAGAGAGGGAGGCACGATCCTTGTAAGAATAATCAAGTACAAATTGCTGCATTTAGGAAATAAGGAATTATGACGGCAGATGTGAAGAACCCTCCCCGAGGAGCTTCCTGTATTAAGTGATGCATTTGTAAAGAAGTTTCAATAGGCAAGGTCAGAGATTTTATAGGGGGCAAACTGTTCTAAGTGCACCTACTTCTGTTCAAAAGAAACTATTAGAACTGGTGACCTCTAGAAATATTCTCCTGTAAGATTATTAATTTATGATTCCACAGCTCTACGTAAGGCTTTCAAACCACCTGGAAAACAGAGCCTTTGTTTTATAATTCAGGGATTGCGCCCACTTTACACGCAACCAAGCTGCAGTTACAAAGGAGATAAGGCATCGCCTCAGGGACCTAGAATCTCCCTTTGGCCTCAGTAAATTCTCAGCAGCTGAGGAAACAGCTTCCACCACCTCCTCTTTGGGTCCTGTCTTTTATGACTTCTCTCAAGTTATACATCAAACCTGCTGCCGAAGCAGCAGATGCATGCAGGTACCCCGTACCCGCCCCGGAGCGCTGCCTCCTCTTCCCGGGTAAGGGGAAGACGGCACTTACCCACACCAACTCGCTCAAAAGAACAAATCTGTTTGCAAACAGAAAGCAACCACAGCCAGCACACCGCTGATACACCCTTTAGTGCTGAAGAGTCCTCTTAAGCAGGGAATCAATCCTTGCACATGAGAGTGTGTGAATCACACCATTAGGCCAGCTTGAGAGGATGCTAGTCACAGACATTCGGCAAGAAGTTCACCACATAAACATGCAGAAAACGGGAAGACAACATATTTCACTTGAGGTAAGAAAAAAAAAGGAGGGGGGGGGGGGAATTAAAAAATATGCCAAAGCGCTGCTAAGCCTTCTGCCAAATGACAGTCACCCAACGTCAACCCTGGACACATAAAAAGCATCCAGGACTGGAAAAGAAGGAGCCAGATCCTGCAATACAAATAACTAGCAATCATATGAATAGCCTGTGCTAAACGAAAGTCAGATATGTAACACACATAATCAGTAAGCATAATTCAATAGCAGAGCTTAATCCAAGCTCATTTCAGAAACATACACAGATGTCTTTGAACCTTACCTTTCAGTCTACGGCTTTCTTCGTGCATAAGTGGTTGGCTGACTACTAACATTCTTGGTGTTCGACAGAACAAGCTGTCTCTTTCCAGCTTGACTGATAACCAGACTGACACCCATTACTCCCCTCTTTCTGTTTCCATTTCCAACAGTCCCCCAAATTGCAACTTTATCTTTAATATTCTGAAATTTCTTCCTTTCCCAAACCAGAGTATAAAATGCAGCAGGGAAATAATTATCTGCTTCTATAGCATGCAAGTTTTAAAATTATATGCCCAGCATTACCAACACAGCATTAAGACTCAAATCCCCACAGCAACAACATGCTAACCATCCTCTTCCCCCAGACTTATGGAGCTGCGGGATGTCTGCCAGGGAAAAACAGAGAAATGTAAAAAGGACTGCAAGAACATGAATACTAAAATAAATATCACAAACCTGGCTGTTAGAATCACAGACTGAGAAAAAGCTATTAAATCAGCTAAGCCATCTTCTCACTGATGGCAGGAATGTTCTCCATACATTATTTCCCTGCTGCCTCCTCCAGCATGTGTTCACGTGTTGAGAGAGCGGGGACCCCGAGCCCGCTCCAGAGCGGACCCTGCTCAGCAGGCCACACGCTCCAGCCCTGCAACGCTTCCCGAGGGATCACTGACCTGGGCAGGTGCTTGAACCCAGATGTATAGTTGTCTTTGGATGACACCCTCAAATAAATCTATGTATTAATTTTTTTATCTTTTTTTTTTTTTACTTTTGCAGCCTGAAATTTCTGGTATTTTCATCTCACAGCCTTCCTGTATAGCTGGCATAATTATTTCCCTCTTTTACATGAATTTTCCAGCCTTTTCATGCATCCTATTTCTTTCTCCACTTCAAGCCAACATTTTATTTTAATCTCACTTCTTCACTCACAGATTGTGCTTTATTCTGTGCTCATCCTTCAATTCACTCTCGTGTCCAGCGTCTCTCGCCGTATCTCATTCCACCGTCTCCACTGTTCCCCCCATCATCTTTGTCTCAAGCCTAAAAACAAGACTAAGACTTCTTGAAAATCATTCCAGCAACACACAGTATGAATCTGAACTTGAAAACACCATGGCTCAAGCAGACGTCACTGAAACAATAATTAGAAACCAATATAAAATACTGATGATACTGATAATAAAAGAAGTTATAAATGAAGAAAGGAAACTGTGAAGGGAGTTATCTGTTGAGCGATGAACTTCACTAGGTTACAAAAAACCTGGAGGTCAAGAAGCACCACACGTCTGTAGCGTACACTGGCAGGAGCTGAAGAGGGCCAGCCGCCAGATTCTGCACTAAGAACAGTGAGATAACAGGGAGAAAGACGAGGACGCTGGGACTCTCGGCAGTACCAAGATCAGTGGCAAAGAAGCAGCTCCAGAAAACGTGTTAGTTTTGTACGGAGAGTCTGACAAGCTGGGATTTGGGGAGGCAATGAAGAAACAAAAAACAAACCAAAAAAAGGCATTTTCCTGCAGCTACAAAACATCAAAGCTGTATTTTTTCAGGGAAAGCCAGTAAGAAAATAGCAGCAAAATACCTTAAAGAAGCATGGGAAAGTTTGCGACAGACCGCACAGTGACACGCTTGCTCTTGTGCAGACCCTGGGCACTGTTAACCACAAACCCTCCCAAGAGCTTCATCAAGGGTTCGGGTCTTCCCCTATCGTGCTCTGCAGTGCTCTGTCAGGTCATCCTGTACGCAGAGCAGCAGACCCTTGATTTAAACTCAAAAATGCACCCCAGAGCATTCTGCAGCAACGGCCCCAATGTCACAGTAACAATCCCCTAACTACTAGTGACTGGCTCCACTATCATAAATTACTGGGTTTGTTTAGCCCCCCCGAAAGCTTGCTATAGACCCGTAAATGAACATACTGGAACCAGTAAAGCAATCAGTTACTATGAGAGACAGGATGAAAATGCTAAAGGTTTTTTGCTGTTTAAAATACCAATTCCAATCCATGGAATTAGTCTGCTAGCTTCAGTTCTGCTATTGGGAAATGAATAATAATCCTAAAAAGGCATTATTTTGAGGGAAAGGATGAGTCGGGCAAATCACTCTGCAGATGAAAGCTTTTCCAAAGGGATACACTCTCCTTTTCCTCCTCTCCATTTTCTGAAACGAATGCAAGTCCTGGCAAACCCAAAGCACGGAGCCTGCCCGCAGCGGCTGGTCGGGGCTCGGGGCACACAGGACTCCCAGGCCAAGGCACCGAGACACCTGGA